GTAAATTTGTATGATTTATGACGCTCCATTTATGTGCATCATAGTAAAATTACACTACTTTTTTTTTAGCTGTGTAGCTCAGGTTGAGGTTCACACTGACACAAAGTTCTGTTCCTATAAAGAATCTTTTATTTCGTTATTTCGTACATATGTAGGTTGCTATGACGCGTGTTGCTTCGATCGAGGCATCAATTACTTTTCAACACTAGAGTTATTCAAGATTGCTTCCCATTCATTGTTATTCATTGGCCACATGTAGCTGGACCAAGGGGTAATCAACTCTGCACATTGTGCCGAAGCACATCGTAGCACACTGATCGGCACGTTAGGCAACACGATGGCAAGTATGACACAGAATATAATATAAAACAGCATCACTGCTTTGTGTTGACATTTTGCCAGCGTTGCTAAGGTTTACTACTTTGCTTACTTCAAAGTAAGGGGGAAGTTTTCTTTTTCAGTTTAACATATTACTTTTTTTAGATTTTCCAGCAAGGTTAGTCCAAATTATAATAAAAGATTACACAATTGACGAGACTCCCTGAGGCTGGACCTCTAACGAAAGTCTACGTTGCCAAGATTATCAGCTTGATTGCTACACTTCGGCACATTCGGTACAACACTGGGCGCAGCTTTCGGCACAGATAAAATACTCGGTACACATAGAGATGTGCAGAGTTGAGTACCCCTTGAGCTGGACCTTATTATTGAATCATTGTAGACTGGACGTGTGCCACAAATTTGGAAAGAGTCCTTAGTGGTTCCTATTCAAAAAGTTGCTGGAATGATTAAAGTCGAAGAATTTCTTCCCATTAACATGTTGCAAAGATTAGAAAAAAAAATATAACTTGTTGTTAAAGGCCAGCTGTTGGAGTATATAAATAGTAAAAGTTTGTTGATACCGGAACAATCGGGATATCGAGAAGGTAATTCTTGTGAAATTTGGTGTTAGCAAAGTGGAAAGATAACTTGGAGCGTAAATATACGATTGCTGCTTCTTTTTTGGATCTAATACGCGCTTTTGAAACAATTTCAAGGCACTTATTGATACGATCAATCAAGTGCTTTGGAGTACTATTTGTATGACAGAACTCATCTGACTGTTTTGAATTACTCTGATTCGAGTCCCGTGGATAATAAACTTGGGAAGTGTATTAGGGTCCCTTTTATTCATTATATGTGTGTTACCGTTTGTAACATTTGTTGATGTATTTCTGTATGTTTATCGTATTCTGCATGTCCATTTAAATTTGAATAATAGTTGCCAATTTGATACCCCTAGTTTTAGTACACAATACACTACCACAGTTTACTACCAACTGCTGGAATAGGTGATGAGCCAACAAATTGAGTTCAGTGGAACATAGGAGAATGGGTACGAGAAGTACAGAGAAAGGGAACGGCGAGTAGCACGGAAACTTCTTCCGCGACTTGCCAAGTAAACTCAAACAAGAGCAGTTGCATAAGTTAAAATTCGTTAAAAGTTTATTGAAGAAGAGTAAGAGTGTCGTAGTAGCACGAGTGGATAGAGAGAGAGAGAGAGTCAGGACCCGTTAGTTGTGAGGGTAGCTTTTGGTGGAGATCTGGCCTCTCGACGATACCGAGGTTGGACTCGGTAAGATTAGGATTTGGATTTCACCCCAAATGGTACCGAGCAGGTCTCCACACACCCGTGAAATCCAAGTCTGCCATCTCCAAGCCTGGAACCACAGACTCTCAGCATAGCCAACATTTGTTCGCCAGGGTCCGCCATTGTGCTAACCGACCGACGTCGCCAGACGCTTTCACCGAGTCTTCATCAGCCTCACTGTTTCCCGCCATCAAGCTAGCCACCGTCATCGAGACCACCACCACCAGCACCATCACCCCCACCAGTAAATTCCAGCAGCCACCGGCCGGTCAGGTATTACACCCCCCCCACACACACACACCATGTTATATTAGAGAAATAAATGGTAAAATTGTATTTCACCAGCTTCTTTTTACTACACCTTATCCGAGGTCTGATTTGCCGAGTAAAGTACACCAGCCGACCTTGAGACTCAGAAATAGTTCTCCAGCTCTGCTAGCCATTAAAAGAGGTTGTAGTATAACCCACCCTCACTGGTAGGCCTTTGCTTTGCCAAGCCCGCCGAGGTGTTTGTCCTGGTAGCCCCCTAGGTACCCCACCCTAGCAGCAACATGTGTTAATGACTTGCGACGTGTTTTACGACATTGAGAAATTAATCTTTTTGCAGATGATACTGTGTTATTCATTGCTGCTAAGGAATTATTAATTAATATTAGTACTAGTATTAGAACAAGCAAACTAAGTGGCCCTTCCCATCTTAAACGGACCTTATCACTTACAAACACTGGTATGCTCAGCTGTACATATCAGAAAACGCGAAATAAAATGCCAATGGTTACGTTGGGTATTAGCAAGTGATCAAAGCTCTCAAATGGCATTACCAATTCTATTCGACATTTATCATTTTTGTACGACTACGGCTAAAATCATGATAACAAAGATAAAAAATTATAGATTTTTATTTAATGTAAAATTTAGTGAACTTTTTCTACTTAAAACTGTCAACGATAATTAATTCGTTGCGAGTGACAATGGAACGCAATCCATTTTTATATATTTATAAACTGAAAAACCGCATGAGTTTCGTAGAACATTAGAACAGATTTTGAAAAGGGGGCTTACAAAATCGGGTCATTGCTGTATCACAATGACCATTTAGTTGTGAGGAAACTTGGTACATGTCCAAATAATTTGACATCATTGGATCCATTTAAATATCTCGTGATCCTGGAAAGATCGAAAGTTACTATCTTAAGGGAAGTTATTCAGTAGGTCCTAAGGCAGGTAGGACCTTCCGGATGTTGGGCAGATTAGTTCCGAATTTTAAGACTACGTGACGCTAGCGTACATGTTTCTCGTGATACTGACAACCTAGGAAGTTGGCGTCTTCGGCAAAGATGTTCTAGAGGGTAAAACCTATCGGTTGGTGGACAGATTATTTCCGAATACTTCCACCACGGGGTGCTAGCGTAGATCATAACTTGTAGTATAAGCTTTATTGTGAGATATTGATCATCTACAAAGTTGTTGTCTTCTGGAAAGTTATTCAGATGTTTATTCAACTCCTCTGCAACACATTTATGCAATTTAGACGAGGTAAATTGAAAAATAGATTTTATTATTATACACGCAAGCAAAATAACGTACGAATTCCATAAAAAACACTTATGAATTTTAGCCACAAGAAATCAGTATGAATTTCATTGATTTGCCTTATTAAAAATAATGCTGACAAAAAAATAGTAAATCGGAGCAGACTGAAACCTAACCATGAACGTTAAGCTTACGGGGCTCCTGTGTTGATCACTCGTCTTTCAACGCTTCGGATCATGAAATGATTAAAGGCGTATAAGAGCTACCTCATGTTACCCGAAAATCATTCATAAGTCACGCTTTTGAAATTCATATGTGTTGTTCATAAGTCGAGCCTTATGAAATTCTTATGTCTATTTGCCTCAGTGTAGTACTATATTTTGAACAAGAGTGTCTCCGGTAAAATTTACTCTAGTGGTTGTGTACCATAGGAATACTACAACTTCTTAGGTCAGTAGTGATTTAAAGACTTTCGGCCTCGTAAAGTTTTTTATTCACAGTGGAGACTAACCAAATAGGGGAATTTACGGATTCTCGTCAATCTAAGCAGTGCCCTTTCTTCTTTTAGCGTTTTCTCAGCGTCACGCCTACAAATGACGTGTTTATTAGTTTACAATTGTTTGTTGCTTGATTCTCAAGCCATTCCAATCGGCATACTTAACCATATCTGATTGAAAGTGTTTTAACTATTGCAGCCTCTTTATCTTTGGCAACCTTTCCATTTGAACTGCGTGTTGAGGCCTTACCGTAAACCTATATCTAAATTATATATTTAAGTCAAAGATTGTCAAACCTACCCTAAACCTACGGCTTATATACCTAAAGATACATGTGTGATAACAGATAACAGAGAGAGTAATAACGAATACTATTGTAAAAACACTAGCATTACACTTGATCACCCGATCGATGAGAGGTCAGTGGTCAACCCGATCAAAACAACAGTCCAAACCCAACTCACAGCGTGAATACACGGTCGATTGTGCACGACAAAACGAAACACAAATTTCTTTATTCATGGTCCGAAAGTAGGTTTTAGTGCTTGTCCGCGGCTTTAGTGCAAAGTGGGAAAGCAGAAGATTTCAATTCCTCCAACGGTGCGCGATCGATGTGTACTAGTCTTGCGGTCTAGTGAAAGAGCGAAGATAGCAAAATAAGTGCAAGTTAGTGTAGCCATTCGACTGGCCCTTTTGGCAGCCGTTTCGACGGCGAAGAAAAACCTCCGGTCCAGCAATTACAGCCAACTAGCTTGTACATGTTGGTCCTTCGAGCCGGATGGAAGGAGACCCCGGTCAGAAGGTCTAATGCGCGAGTGGTGACTAATTTCCCGATCCGTGTGACCAAGTGATAGCCGGCAAGAGACCGCATAGAAATTTGCGCCATTGCATTGGTGGCTCGCAATTGCGCCAAGTGTTGTGCGGAATACTGGATACGCCAGCTACTGGATAGCCGTTATCCATTGCTGCTGGCATTGTACGATCCCTCGAAAAAGAATAGTGTGTGATCTCTGACAAGCAAAGCGTTGTTGCTGTGCCTTGCTTTGATAGGAGAAGTGTGCTGCAATTAGCCTAATAGAATTTACCCGTAGTCCGGCACAAATTGAGGAGTGATTTTTTGATTGTTTGGCCTTGTTGGCAGCAAGGCAGATACGAACGACACGTTAAAGTGACTATAGTGACAGGTTTTGCACCGATCCGCGAATTCGCGACGCAATCCGTGTATTTCGGCGGGAAGGATTTTCGTCCGCGTCGGGAAGGATTGAACCGTTACCGTCCGCGTCGGGAAGGAGCATTTCGAAACCGTTTTTCACGATCGTTTCGTACTAGATCGGCGCAAAATGCCGGACCATAAGATCGAAAAAAGGCTGACTGATTTGGAGATCGTGAAGAAAGGCCTGTACGTGCATCGCGATGGCGTTGAAAGGTCTGTGAAGGACTTTCAAGAAGATCGTGATTCATGCCAGATACCCGTGCGGCTTGAATCTCTGGACAGAGTGTACAACGAACGAAGCGCAAGGTGAAGTCGAACGGTTGGATGACGAAGAAAAGCTGAACGATCACCTGACGGAACGAGCCAATTTCGATGCACGTTACTGTTCGGTGAAAGGCTTCTTGCTGTCCAAGTGAACAGCAGATGCCAACCAAGTGGCCCTCAACGCATCGATCCATCATGCACCAGCCAATCCAGGTACATTCCACCTTAGACTTCCGCATAATGACCTCCCCAAGTTCAACGGGGATTTCTCGAAGTGGTTGTCGTTTCGAGACACCTACACGTCGATGGTGCATTCGAATGCGGATATTCCCACCGTGGCAAAACTTCAATACCTTATCCAGTCACTCGTAGGCGAGGCGCGCAAGCCGTTCGAGAGCGTGGATATCGAGGCCGATAACTAGCCGATAACGAGGCCGATGATAATCGTAGATTTTTGAAAAAGCTGTTTTTCCGTAGTATCCACGACTTCCCATCGTTGAAAAGGGAATCCACCAACGAGTTATACGAGCTCGGGGACGAGTTCCAGCGGCACGTGAAGGCCTTGGCCAAGTTGAATGAGCCTGTCGAGTATTGGGACACCCCCCTCGTAAACATCCTGTCCTACAAGCTCGATCCAGCTACTCTTCGTGCGTGGGAAGAAAAGACCAGCCAGCAAGACGACGTCAAGTACAACGACCTTCTTGAATTCCTGTACCAGCGTGTACGAATCCTGAAATCCGTAGCATCCGATCTGCTGCAACGCTCCCAGCCGGTTCAAGCAAAGGTGGTCGGCAACTTTCCTCCTCCAAAGAAGTACATTCAACCCAAGGTCGCTGCCAACGCCGCTGCATCTGATAGCAGGCCAAACTTGCCTTCTTGTTTCGCTTGTTCCGAACGACACTTCCTCTTTCAGTGTCAAGACTTCGACAAATTGCGCGTCAGCCAGCGGAGAGAGCTGGTATCCCAACGAAAGCTATGTTGGAATTGCTTCCGAACTGGTCATCAAGCCAGAAACTGCTCCTCGAAGTTCTCCTGCCGAACCTGTCGAGAACGGTACCATACGTTGCTGCATGATTCATCCCAGTCTGGTAAGAGTTCATCCACCCCCGCCGTGATGTCAAATTCCCATGAAACGGCGCAAGTTCCACCTATGTTGGCTACCCCAGGACCGTCTACCTCATCCCAACAAATAAGCATGTCGGTTCAGTCCCACGCCAGCACGGTTCTCCTTGAAACAGTCGTTCTCCAAATCGTCGGCGATCACGGACATGTTTCCAAGCCCGAGCTCTACTGGATTCCGCTTCGATGTCGCATTTCATGTCTAAAGATCTTGCGAATCTGCTCTCCAGCTCCCAATCCAAGGTTGATGAGTCCGTAGCTGGAATCGGACAATCCCACCGGAAGATCAAGCGTGCATTAGCCACCACAATCCAGTCAAGAGTCGGATCGTTTTCTACGAAACTCAAATTCCTCGTGATCGAGCATCCCACTGCTGATCTACCCACCATGTACGTGCAGATTACTTCATGGAACCTTCCGAACGTGCAGTTAGCTGATCCTGAGTTCCACATTCCCAACAAGATCGACTTAGTCATCGGTGGTGAAGCGTATTGGGAGATTGAGACGATTCCAAACCAATCCGTTCATTCCGCTACCGAGAAGGCCTGTGAAGAACTCTACATGACAACCACAACCCGAGATCCTACCGGGCGATACGTAGTTCGCCTACCAAAAACGGACAATCCGGAAGTCGTTCTGGGAAATTCGGAATCCATTGCCAAACGCCGATTCCTCATCTTGGGACTCCGACTCGAGCGTGATCCTAGCACCAAATCCTCCTACCACCAGTTCATGGAGGAATACGAGCGTCTCGGACACATGGTACGGCTCGACGAACCTGTGGACAACACGATGCCACACTGCTACCTTCCGCATCATCCCGTGTTCAAGCTCTCGAGTACCACCACGAAGACGAGAGTAGTGTTTAATGCATCGTGTAAGACAGCATCGGGCTATTCGTTGAACGATCTACTTCTTGTCGGACCAGTCGTTCAAGATGATTTACTGTCGCTCGTCATGCGGTTTTGCTTCTACCCTATTGCCCTCAACGGTGACGTCGAGAAGATGTACCGTCAGATGCTTCTCCACAAGGCAGACCGACCGTACCACAGGATCAAATGGCGCAAGGATGCATCCGAATCGATAGCTACCTACGAGTTGCAGACCGTGACCTACGGCACTGCTGCTGCCCCGTATCTTGCCACTAAAACTCTCCAAAAATTGGCGAGTGATGCAGGTCACTCATTCCCTGCCGCTGCGGAACCAGTGGCCAAGAACTTTTACGTCGATGACTTTCTGTCAGGTGCCGATAATGTCGAGTCAGCCATGCAAATTCGACGTGAAGTATCAGCGATACTCGGTTCTGCTGGAATCCCAATGAATAAGTGGGCTTCGAACTCCATCGAAGTCCTTGAAGATATTCCACCAGAAGATCGATCTATCCAGCCATGGCACGACCTACAAGATCCACAATCCGTCAGCACACTCGGTCTAATATGGGAACCCGGGACTGACATCTTTCGGTTCAAGGTACAGTTACCTCTTCCGGCTGCTGTTCTCACCAAGCGTAGGATCATGTCCTACGTGGCTCAAATCTTCGATCCGTTGGGACTTGTGGATCCCGCTGTTACGAAAGCGAAGCTCTTCATGCAGTGTCTCTGAAATCCTCTGACAACGAACGCTATGATTGGGACCAACCTTTGCCTCCAAAACTACAACAAGAGTGGAAAAAATTCCACACTACCATCGACCTGCTTCGTGAAGTTCGAGTTCCTCGATTTGCTTCCATCATTGGTGCAGTCAGCATCGAGCTTCATTTCTTCGCTGATGCGTCAGACAAGGCCTACGGAACGTATTGCTATGTTCGTGCCCAATCTATCCAAGAAGTATCCGTGAAACTGCTGATCTCCAAGTCCAAGGTTTCGCCCCTAGCAGCACGCCATACGATAGCCCGACTGGAGTTATGCGCAGCTTATCTTTCCACGCAGCTGTACAAGAAAGTCGCTTCGTCGTTGAAAACGGTTCCACCTGCTTTCTTCTGGTCGGACTCGACCACCGTGATACAGTGGCTCCGATCATCACCTGGACGTTGGAAAACGTTTGTAGCCAACCGTGTGAGCCAAATCCAAGCTGCTACTCCAGTCGATAAGTGGAATCACGTAGCTGGTTCCGACAATCCCGCTGACGACATCTCCAGATGATTGGATCCAACCGAACTTCTCCACAAGGCAAGGTGGTGGAATGGTCCATCCTGGTTAAGGGTTCCACCTGAGCTTTGGCCTGCAGGAGCGCTCACTACGAAAGAAACAGCAGAAGTGTCCCAAGAATGCTGCAAGATTCCCATCGTAGCGATGACAGCCATCCAAAGCACATTCCACGAAGATTTGTTCTCCAAATACTCCAGCTTTTCCAAGCTTCGCCGTACGGTCGCATGGTGGTTGCGATTTCTGCAAGCTCTTCGTGACCATGCAATTCTTCGTCGTTCGAATGCAATCAATCCAGGTGTGCTCAAAAGGTCAACTGAGTCATGCCAGCCACTCAACTCCGACGAACTCCACTCAGCTGACCGAGTCCTTTGTCGACTAGCGCAGCTGGATAACTTCCAAGAAGAGCGAAATGATCTTGTCGCTCGTACAAACGTAACGAAATCGAGTTCGTTGAAGTGGTTGAAGCCCTACGTTGATGAATTCGGATTGATCCTCGTCGGACGACGCCTCGACAATGCCAAACTACCTGAGTTTACCAAGCACCCCATCATCCTAAGCGCCAAACATCCATTAGCCAGCATACTCGCTGTGCACTGTCACAAAACCTTGCTTCACGCTGGCCCGCAATTGATGTTGGCTACCCTCCGCCAGAAATTTTGGATTCTGGGCGGACGAAACCTCGTCAGACGCACGTACCATCAATGCATCACTTGCTTCCGTAGCAAGCCGAAATTGATTCAGCAAACTGTAGCAGATCTACCAGCATCCCGTATCACTTCGACGCGTCCTTTCTCCGTCTGTGGCGTAGACTACTGTTGGCCGTTCTATGTCAAGTCGGTAGTCCAGAAGCGAGGTCCAACGAAAGTGTATGTGGCAATTTTCATCTGCTTTTCCACATGATCCGTCCACATTGAGCTTGTGAGCGATCTTACGTCTGCCGCATTCGTCGCCGCACTGCGTCGCTTAATAGCTCGAAGGGGGAAGATTACCGAGCTGTACTCCGATAACGCCACGACCTTCAAAAGAGCTTCACACGCCTTGCATCGAGTGTACCAAATGCTGAAGCAGGACGCCACTGACCGAAATCATATCTTTTCCTGGTGCGCAAACCACGAGATCCGGTGGAAGTTCATTCCGCCACGTGCGCCTCATTTTGGAGGCCTCTGGGAGGCTGCGGTGAAGTCCGCGAAGACCCACCTACTCAAGGAAATTGGCAATACGAATCTTGCCTACGAGGACATGCTCACCTTACTAGCGCAGGTTGAGATGTGCCTCAATTCGCGATCATTAACGCCCCTGTCCTCAGAACCATCGGACCTGGAAGCCCTGACACCCGGTCACTTCCTGGTAGGTTCCAACCTCCAATCCGTTCCCGAAGCAACATTGGTCAACATTCCCGAAAACCGGCTCAACCATTGGGAACAAACTCAGCGCCACCTCCAACGAATCTGGGCACGTTGGTACCCGGAATACCTCCAGCAGCTGCATTCCAGGGCTGTTCAAGGCTGCAAATCACCTAGCAAAATCGAGATCGGACGGCTTGCCGTGATCAAGGACGATTGCCTACCACCCGCTCAATGGCCCCTCGGCAAAATTGTGAAGGTCCATCCTGGGAAAGACGGGATCGTCAGAGTGGTCACGCTGAAGACTGCCTCCTCGGACAACGTCGTGCGACCCGTCGTGCGGATTGCCTTGCTACCAATACCCAACGATCAGTCCGATGCAACAGTCGGAGACCATTAGAGCAGTACCAAACTGGCTCGAGGCTCATGCCAGTAGAAACCAGAGGTCAACGCACTCAATCTATCTACTGCATTGCTGCTGTTAAGATCAACCGATTGAACAGAGAGTCGAGCAAACAATCCTCTCAGGCGACGCAGATACCACTAGCAAGAGAAGATGCATAATTCACGTGATTGAGTGAACAAGTATTAGTGTTGAAATGATAGGGCTATTTCAAAGGTGGCCGGATTGTTGAGGCCTTACCGTAAACCTGCCAACGGCTGAGAGTCTCTATAATAAAGAAATGAATCAATCTTACCGTAAACCTATATCTAAATTATATATTTAAGTCAAAGATTGTCAAACCTACCCTAAGCCTACGGCTTATATACCTAAAGATACATGTGTGATAACAGATAACAGAGAGAGTAATAACGAATACTATTGTAAAAACACTAGTATTACACTTGATCACCCGATCGATGAGAGGTCAGTGGTCAACCCGATCAAAACAACAGTCCAAACCCAACTCACAGCATGAATACACGGTCGATAGTGCGCGACAAAACGAAACACAAATTTCTTTATTCAAGGTCCGAAAGTAGGTTTTAGTGCTTGTCCGCGACTTTAGTGCAAAGTGGGAAAGCAGAAGATTTCAATTCCTCCAACGGTGCGCGATCGATGTGTGCTAGTCTTGCGCTCTAGTGAAAGAGCGAAGATAGCAAAATAAGTGCAAGTTATTGTAGCCATTCTACTGGCCCTTTGGCAGCCGTTTCGACGGCGAAGAAAAACCTCCGGTCCAGCAATTACAGCCAACTGGCTTGTATACTGCGTGTTAACCAGCTGTTGTATTATCGGCAACACAAAATCAGCCGTATTTTGTAGTGCATACATTTAATTTAAAGACCAATCTGACATAACAGGATTGCTCTGTCGTAAAATGTAATCAAATTGAAGCTGAAAAACTAAGGAATCATTTGAATACACTCATCGATGTGTGTTGATGGGAAATACAGTGAAATAACCGTTTAAATTGTGGTTGCCGAAGCCGACAGTTACCCTATACAAATTGAAAAAAAAAACTTGAGGTGAACAATACACCATGAAAGGTCAGTAATTTGCATGTTTGCAAGAAAATTAAATTTTTATGAGGATCCAGATTTCTTCCAGTTTTTGGGTTTATTTTACCAGTTATTAAAAAAAAACTTTTGGCAACCCTGGTCAGCAGTCAGAGTATTGCGAAATAAAGAACGACGAGTGGGGAAACCACACGTCAAAACCTATGTAAGCATACGAGTTCGATGTTGGTGCAGTCGGAATACGTAATGATTTGGCACTGGAACTGGAATGTACATTACATACACTCTCATAAGCTATAACCAGGTTGAAAATGTTCCTTCAAATGGGAGAATATTTCATATCATGTTCGATATATTTATTGCCAACCGTGCTGAATACCGATAAGATACCGTGGCGGACAGGTGGGGAAAAACGATCCATATTTCCATCATCGGATACAAAAACCGGAGATGGAATTGAGTGAAAAGTTCGGCAACATCGAATGTTGCTGATGTTGTTCGGAACAGTTGGTTATGATTGACCGGCAGAATATTTTACTGATACTTACATGTGCGAATACGATTTGCTTAGGCACACTGTGAGCTTTTTTAAGCATGCAGCAAATGACTTCAATCATTGTTTCACGAAGTATGGGTTCGATTTACGCTCTTGGATTGTCAATCAAGGATCACTGTCAAGAACTCGCCAAATCATTTCCATTTCCTCCGTCGGCATTTAACATTGGCTTATCTCGATGATGTTGTCTAAAAGAGCCTGTAATTTCAGTTGCGGCTCGTTTTTGCTTGGATTAATCTACCAAGATCATAAAATTCGGCCAATTGAAAGATAAAGACTCCATCTACGGATACTGACAAGGGGTTTGAAAGATACTGATTCGGCCAATTGAAAGATAAAGACTCCATCTACGGATACTGATAGAGGATACTGTTTATCACGCTTCAAAATGTGTGCATCAGTAGCAGCTCTTGGACGCCATACTGAAACGCAGGTTTGTTGACATTCGAAGCCTTCGACGATTTTCCGTCGTTAGATAGAACTACAAGCGTTGATTTTTAGAATTAGAGACACCTCTTCGACAATTCACGGCTGCACTGGGGTTTGGTTGAGAAACCGTAAAAGATGCATTTCCACGGTTTATTCGATACGCCTAAAGTGGTACCTACCAGGAACGACAACACAATTTGAGATGTTGGCCGGGTGCTCACAACTAGTGTTTCCTACCCGTGATATCCCGGAAAATTGATGATGATGATGATGATGATGATTGAGACTACCACTCATGTAGCAAGGCGCCTGCACATAGCATGTCCCACTGACAAATCATATTCAGCTTTGCGCTGTATGAATAAATAATGCATGATAGTGATCTACCTCCCATTGTAGCATGGAAACTAAGTCCGATAGCCGTGGGTAAAGTCACCTATGCGTATCTACGGGACAGTAAAGAATCTCTTTCCAGCAACATGATCACACAATTGGTCAAAAAACGAGCCCCCAAACAGAAAGATGCATAAATGAGTAGGGAGAAGAACCTGCTCTTCTTCCGCGAAATGTTATCAACAGGGAGTTGGCATTCCCACTCTCCCCGTTCAAATAGCTTCAATCGGGTGCCCTGATAGCATCGACGAACCGACATGCCACTGGAGCGTTTCGTTTTTCCGCAATTAGATTTGTCAAATGAGCGATTCGATCTGTCAAACGAGGTGAGACGCAAATCAAGACAATATAAATTACACGTGTGTTCGTGGTTTTACTCACGATATGACGCGATCGGATGAGTAGATGACGATAGTGTTTAACGTATTTCAAATATGGCGTCTTGGGCAAGAATTTCAATGCAGTTTCTATGAGCTGTCACGTCGGTTTGTCGGTGCTGATAGTCCCTCCCAATCCCAGCATTGTTTTGTGTATATATGTATATAGATATGAGCAACAGTAAACATTTTAAATTTATAACGATCTCGCCAACTTTCGCTATTTCTTCACCCTTCTGTCAAATTTTCACTTTTCGTTTCTACACTACTTCAGGAACGTCCAAAGTACCCGATACAAACGTTTGAAATCTCCATCGGGAACTGCTTTATTCGAGTGTTTATTCGGCTGTTGACAGAAGCAAGCCACTCTCGATGTGTGCCACGCGATCGGCTGTTTACTCAGCAGCAACCATTGTGTGGTTCTGCTCATTGTTCTTCGGTCGATGCGTCGTTGACTTTAGAAAGCAACCGTTTCGTGTTGAGTGTGTGAGTGCTGACCACGTATTGCGTCCATTGCTGCAATGGAAGCACTCTGCCCCACGTTGGCGATTCTGCCATACAATGAAACCACTGGAAGCGGCTCCCGTTCTAATAGAGGAGGCTTTTTTTTAAGAAGATCGGAACGTGTTTATTGTGTTTTACCTTTTGACTATAGTTTTACGATGTTTTATATAGTGAACAAGAATCATCGGCTCTATAAAGTTAATTCGATTGAGCCTTATCAAATAAATTAATAAACATCTGCTAGATTCCTCGTCAGAAATGTCCGGAAACACTGGAGTATCCATCTGGAACTGATGGAATCCTCATCTACTTCAGAAACGGCTAGAGTACCCATCGAACCGTTTGGCATCCAAGCCGGGAACGTCTGGAATCTTCATCGATAACTTATGGAATATCCGTCAGGAACTGCTTGAATCATCGTCAGAAATGTCCGGAATCTTACCATAATCTTCAGGTATCCAAGTTGAGAATGGTCTAGAATCTTTGTTGGAAGCATCTGAAATAACCATCGGTCGCATCTGGAAGCACTACCGGGAACCTCCGGCGGCTACATATCTGAAATAGCCGTCGGAAACTTCTAGGATACTTGTCTGGAATGTCCGGAATCACTGTGGAAATCACTTCAGGAATGTCTGGGGTACCCGTTAGGTACTTCTAAAATCTCAATTGGGATCAAACGGAATCTTCGTAAATAATGTTAGAAATCACTTCGGAAACATTTACCGGGAGGCCAAAAATAGCCAGGAAATGAAAACACTAGTTTGAAGTGCAGCTGAAATTTCCATCGGGAATCTCTGGACTCATCGTCGGGAATGTCCGAAATTACTTCGGGAAGTATGGAGTGTTCATCGAAACCGAGTAGAATCAATCAGGAACGTCTGAAATCTCCGTCAGGAACGACTGGGATCTTCTTCAGGAGTGTCAGAAATCGCTTCGGAAAAATTTTCCGGAAAGCCAAAAATGGCCGGGAACTGGAAACACTAGTTTCTAGTACTGGTCGGGATCACCTGCAATCTCAACTGTAAGTTACTAGAATCAGCGTCAGGAATGTCCGTAATACCTTCGGGAAGTTGGATTATCCATCGAGACCGATCGATCTATCGGGAACGTTTGGAATCTATATCGGGATTATCGGAATTCTCCGCCAGGAACGTCTAGGATCTCCTTCGAGAATGTCCGGAATCACTTCAGGCACGTCTGGAATCTTCATCAGAGGCGGCTATAATTCTCGTGGAGAATGTATTCAGTCTCCATCCGTAACTGATAGAATCATCATAGATAATGTCTGCAATCACTTCGGCAATGTGTGCAGTACCCGTCGGAGACTTCTGAAATCTTCATCGGGAGCTGCTGAAACTCTCGTTGGGAATGTCTGGAACTGCTAGAAGTTTCTCTGGAAGTCTAAAATCTTTATCGAGAACGTCTGAAGTACCCGTCTGAAATTTCTCCTTTGTCTGTAATACTCGTCGGGAATGTCCAGAATCACTTTGTGGACGTTTGGAATCTCCATTTTGGTCAGGAATACTAGTATTTGCAAACAAGAAACACTTACACGAGGTTGAGACATAAAAACACTGAAGTAATCTCTGTGTGATTGTTGACGTACTGCGTAAAACGGATGTGGTATATGAAGACATCAATAGAAAAACAAAAGCATAAATAAGCCGAATAAAAATAATTCAT